CTTTAATGCTAAATTACAATATACTCGGGTTGAAATACGATAAGATAAATATGGAATATAGGATGGCAAATGGACTTCGGAGATGTTCGTGATTTCAAGGTACTGATGCTTAGTTGATGTTAACTCGTATCGTAGGTAGGAGGGTGTACGACTCGTGGACAATCGAGAACGATGATGTCGGGTGTACACAATGAGTACTCGGGTGGTTGATGTGAGGTGTGATTAGTCGACGACTTGAAGGCGATTGGATACTCGGGGATGACCGTCGGAGGTTGAAGATCGCGAATTACGGTGTTGCGTTCGGGTGAAGCTTACGTTGACGATTTGAAGGTAATCGGGAACTTGTGTTCGTCGGTTGTCGACGATAAGGAATAACAATGATTGTGTTCGGGTGATGTGTTCTGTTTACGATTTGACAATAATCGGGAACTTGTGGTCGTCGGTTAGACTATTTCGATGGTTGCGTTCGGGTGTTGCTGGCTGTTGACGACTTGAAGGTAATCGGGAACTTATGGTCGTTGACAATTTGAAGGCAATCGGGAACTTGTGGTCGTCGGTTGTCGACGATAAGGAATTACGATGTTGGTGTTCGGGTGATGAGGGCTGTTGACGATTTGAAGGTAATCGGGAACAGATGTCCAGGTCTTCGTGAGCGGATTGACATTCGTACTGGTTCGGTAGCTCGTTGAGGGTAGATTCGGCAACCGATGCGTTAGGCTTTGTAGATGGATCGGGGCTCGTTCGGTTTCGACAGCGAAACTCCTGTGTAAATGAATTACCAGCCACTCAACTTAATGAGAGCCAGTCTTGAAAAAAGTATTCCCGACTAACGCTTTTGTTAGTCGGAGAATGGCCGATGATCTTTAGAAAATCACTAGCTACCCTTTGGCAAGCTCCTGCAGTAGCAAGCCTTCCTCTATCGCACCTCAAACCGAAAACTATATGTGACCGGTTCTACCAAGTCATTGCGAATTTTTAGCCTTACGCTGTGAGCAAAAACTACTTTGTTCACCACCCGCCCAACGAATTCTGCATTTGTTGGTTAGTGCTGTTGTCGCCTTGTTGACTGCCTTGTTGACGTGTGTGCATGGTGGTGGTGGTTGGTTGGTGCTGTTAGCGTCGCACTTGCAGTGGCCGCTGTTGTTGTTCTCATTGTGTAATAGGTGCGGTTGTTTGTTCGTATAAATGTACTTTATGAAATCAGCACGTTACACCAATTCAGATAGTCCTGCTCGAGCTGCTGCTCCTATGGTGGAAATTGTTCCAACAATCTCTGTGGCTACAGCAGCGCTTCCACGCGTCAGACCCGCGCTGGTAAAACCTATGGTCCTGTGTCGGCAGTGCACCCTACCTTAACCGTTACTTAAATCTTCGGTATTCCGAAGGATGGCCTTCGAAAAATGTATTCGGACTGTAACATACCACCGTTGCTGCTATAAATGTCTACGTCCGGACCATGCATCAAAATTCTGCCGAATTCCACAAAGGTGCAAATTTTGTACATAAAAGCACCACACACTCCGCGTACGAAGAACTTAGGCACGACACAACACATCAACAAAACCATTGTTCCACGAGGTACAATTCCAGTACCACCGAGCCACGTTTTACTCATATAGATGTTACCGATATGTTGTTCGTCTCTGTTTGCTAAAGTCAACCGTTGCGCTATGGGCGTTATTTGATCCGTGGTGTCCCGTAAGTCAAGTCTGTGCGTCGCTTAGCAATGAACTTCGTTGGCCTATGATACCACGACAGTTAATCATGTGACTTACGCGGATTTTACGATAATGTCACGTTTTGATCCGGGCAGAGACAATTTGTACCCACAAGCGTCGCAAATATAAACGTGGAGTCACACATTCTTTTTCGGCTACTCCTAACAAATGCGATTCGTTTGTAGGTCTCGAACTACCAGGTCCTAATTTTGATCGCGCTGGCCCAATCGCTATGGTACTAGGGACAAAAAATTTGTCATAAAATCATAGCACCTCGAGTTATTTCCAACCCAGGACTTCCTACAGCCCAATATACTAAATTTGGATGGATAATATCGGGTGCTGTGCCATTACAAGTATATTTTTCTCTAAACTAGCATTTTTGAAAAATTAAAATGTTGATATATAAATTAACGTCAAACATGTATTTACTTAAATTTATTAATAGTTGTGTACTAGCTCTAGGTATATGTTGTTGATTGATATGGATATATGTACCAAGGTGGGCGGCAAAGTATATGTTAGATACTTTGTCCTGTAACTTAAGCTTGATCAATTAAAAAACTCTATCCGCGGAGGTTGTAGTATGCGAATTATCTAATATATGTTGTTTTTGTTGCTCACCTTGACTTACCACACTCAAATAGTTGTAAATGTACTAAAAATGAAACAATGGATCCTCAGCGATCATTCAGAACCTCTGCATTCTCTTGTCTGTGTTTGCATATGTATTAGATATAGACAAGTGATTCTCTGCCATTACTTAGAACCTCTGAATTCACTTGTCTTTGAGTATTGAAAACTTAACAATCAAGGCCTTTGTCGCCACTATCACATACCAAGAGGTAATTATTTGTTGAAAAGAAATAGATCTAAATTCAATATAACGTCAAACTTATTTGGATTGAAAACTAATCACTTGTGTTTTATTTTGCTTTTTTATCCCTCTCATTGTTGCACATTAACAAGGCTGATTAAGTGAACCTGAGTAATTCGCACAAGTGAAGAAGTGACACTATCATGCATATACATTATCTCTTCCAGAACAAAAATTGTACATCAATGTTTGACTAAATTGTAGTTCAAAACTATTTTTCGAACAAAAACTATTTTTCATATATAACTATTCTAGGGTAAAATGCATATTATAATTATTTTCTTGTGTCAGTATTTCAAGGGCAAGCGCCGCCTGTTGTTCTAGTGGTTTGTTCGTTTTTTGTCTGCCTATGCACAGTGCACAGTGGTCACTATCAATCTTATAATAAATTCCATCCTCGGTTGGTGAGTTTACAATAGTTAATTTTTTTAGTGTAAAACGTCATTTATATTATTTTCTTGTGTCAGTATTTCAACGTTTTCGTGCAATGTATCGCCATTTATACGTCATTTATATTATTTTCTTGTGTCAGTATTTCAACGTTTTCGTGCAATGTATCGCAAGCGCCGTCTTTTGTTCTTGTTGTTTGTTCGTCTTAAGTTTGGTTTTAGTTGTACCAACATATACCTTGTGACATATGTTAGTCTCGTCCCCTACACAATTTATCTTATATACTACATTGCACTTATCTTCTTTTGTATTTTCGATTTAGTTGTGCTAGTTGCTTTGTTGACGGTAATCTCAGATTTAAAAGCTAATTAATATTTGTACTTATTATAAATATCAGAATTGCAGAATCCCTCCAAAACTCTAGGTAGGTATAAAAATGGCTTGGATAAATTTTCCGTTTTTTATCTAATTATTGTTTTTTTGCGTCTTTTGCATTTTGGGTAGTCCGTAAGTTCTTGGCGCAACTACTGAGGTAATTTGTTTTTATTGGTAGAAAAAAGTGAATAGATAATATGTATTAAATGTTTTCACATTATATGGCTGCGTGTCCTTTCATTCAAGTAATCTTGGCTACCTACTGGCGCATCGATATCTGTCTGTGTGGGTTATGACCTTTATTATCCTACACATTATCGTATGCGACAGCGAACAAGATCACTGAATTGTTCACATGTGATTTTTTACGACCACTGGGAAGGTCACAATGTTGAAATAATTATTTTTAATGGTTAAATTTTCCCAGCGCCTCAATCGCACTCAAAAGTATGTAGAATATATTTTGTACATGCGTTGATTAAAACACTCTTTGATTGAGGCACATATACAAATTTCAATACCTTGTTTATATCTTTCAAACCTGTCACAACCACATTTATATTGTCCCAAATATAAACCATAATTCCACCATTTACCAACCATTTAAATTTTATCTAGTTTACTTGTCAAGGTGATCTAAGAAAAGTCGTATATTATTTCAAAACTTTCTGCAAACAAGCTTGAAAGTAGAGACAACCGTTTTGGTCTTCACTTTTTATACCTTTCACCACATAGTGGTCAGGATATTATGTCTTTGGGCATTTACGCATGTCCGTCCGTCCCTCTGTCCATGTATTTTTGGAATGCAGGTCGCATTTATCATCTAATTAAGATGAAGAATCCAAGAAAATCGGTCCAAATAAGTTTAGGTTTATTCTGCGCCAGATGGATAATATCAGTTCAAAAGAAGTGAATTTTGGCACTTCCAACCAAATTCACTCTAGAAGAATGTACTTTGTGAAAATCGATTCAGATATATTTTTCATCCGTTTTCGAGTGTAATTCCTCATAATATGTATTCCACAAGAATGATATTTCGTACAAGATATCAGATTCAGCCCAGCAATACCTGTTTTAAATTTTATCAAGATCGGTTTAGATTTGGATTTCCATATATATCTCTGACCGATTTCACGTTTATTGTGCACTGGATGGTTAACATCATTCAAAATGAGGTGAATTTTAGCACTGCCAACCGATTTCTGTCTAAAGATATATCTATATCTTCCATATATATGTTTTATCCGATTTGGTGTTTAAATCCCTCACATTCATATTATGCAATCTATCTTGAAATTAGTACATATTCATATTCAATCCAACAGATTCTCTTGGTTCATTTTAGTATTGTAAAGGCTTGCTGACTATGACCATCCTTACAACAGCAACTTTTATAGTGAACACTGTATGGAGCAATATGTGTATTTTATCAGTATTCTAGAAAAGTTCTTGAACGGGCCATATCGGTCATTGTTTACATAAAGTCGGTACCTTCTCATATTGTTTAAGATTCGGTATTTAGAGTTCGTAGTTGGATTTTCCTCCTGTAGCAAAAAATTGGCATGTGGTCACTTTTTAATTGCAGCCCAAGCGTTTAGTAGTTTGATGATTTTAGTTACATTTTTCAAAGGAATAGATTCAAATTTCTTTTGTTGTTTATTGTTAAACTCAAGGTTTATGTTCATATTATTTACAAAAAAATTACATATATCACAAGTGTGTTGGAGTAGTGTGAACATCATTGAAAAATTATGCCGATTTTTGCCTTACACTTTTTGTCATTTTTAACCGTTCTTCTAAACAATATAAATAGTGAGAATGGACACAAAAGTTTTTAGTTTATAAACATGAAGGCTTACTTCATTATAATTGCTGTAATTTTTATGCCATTGAGTGGTATGGTTATAAACCATCAGGATAATCATGTTCGCAGTTACATATTCGGAATGATAAAAGCAGTCCACACTCTTGTATTCACCTGTACCTATAAAGGTAATTATAAAAGATATCACTAAAAAACTTCAATAATATATAATCCTCGAAGCTTGTTATAAATTAAAAGGAGCTAAATGCTGATATTTTCGCTGAGCATCTAGTTAGAATTTGAAGTCAGACATGTACACTGCGCCGCCGTTAATTACTCTTTAGTAAATAAAAACAAGTTTTTCCCTTGTTACTTTATCCTAACCACTGCACAGTGGTCGAGGTCGTATGGGAACAGCGGCAAAAAATACTTTCAGTGCAGATATCAAGATGATTCTTTGTTTATGGTGTTTTATGGGATAAAAATGAAAAATGTGACAAAGTGGATATGGTCGATGCATGTTTTGGCATGGTCGCCTTACAACGTACCTCCCGAATATGGGTTATTTGCCCAATTTTTGTCACATTTCTACACTAGATTGCTCTGTTATTTGACATTTTACGTTCTAAAGAGCTAAAAAAAGTCTTACTGAAAATTATTTAGAACGGCCCGCCTTCAGGTAGACTCCTGTAAAGGTACCTCCAAAAGTAGACGTATTTTTTATACAAATCAATTCCAAATTTGATTATTTTTTGTAAAAAAAATAGACAGTTTTTTTTGTAAACAAAAAAACAATTCAATATAAAATTAAATCAAAGTTACCAATGGATGTTTATAAATTTCAGTGTTATTCAATAAATCAAATGCAGATTTTAATAATATAGATTTTTTATTGATTGGTAACGTTCGCTGTCCCGTTATAAAAGGGTCGGAGCTCAGAAGAAGACGGTTAATAAGGTCTGTGTTTGTTGAAACACGAGAATTTTTTCGGGTATGATTTAGTCGAAACTTTTTTATATCTTTGTTTCTAGACTCCACGGCCACCTCCTATAATTCTCCAATCGATACAATGACAAATTTATAATGTCGGGTGCATGTATTAAAATTTTATTAGCTGCGGGTGGAAGATAGTGCCATGGATATCTATTTGTTAACTCTTTAGCCGTTTCTATTTGTTAACTCCTTAGCCGTTTCCAGTGCAGAGGCCTTAAATGCAGGACAATGCAGGCAACATTATTAAACACCCCTCAATTATATCCTTATCAATCCCAAACAACAAAAACACTAGCACCATAGAACTGACAAAATTGGAGCGAAGTCACTTCAGTATATTGGGCATAACATACAAATCTGACAAAATCTGAAAGTTAAATTAGCACTTCTAGAATCTTAGGACCATTACTAATGGCGTAAAAAAATCACATTGGAGGATTCAGGGGGAAAACAATTAAAACTTTAACTGAAATCCAATTTTATTTTCAAAATTAATCTTAAAGGCCACTCAGAACACTCACATCGTCTATATTATACACAACTACTAAACACACAAGTTGCTGCACTAAAAATAAGTCAATACCTTGCTTTTCAATAATAATGCCAAGATTTGTCATTTTAAAATGTATTTAATTTTGTAAAACAGATCTATTTTTACTCCACTTTTTCACTGATCCCACTGAAAAAGCAACTAACTACATTTTCTCTTTTTTGATGCTAAGTGTCCCGTTAGAATGAAGCCAAGATTATTATGTTTTCTAAACAGCTTAACCTCTTAAGAGTTCATGTGTACACATTTGATAATAAATATCTGATTTTCATTTTTTGAATTTTGGCCAATGGCAGCGACCACTGTGCACTGGTTGTCGTTACTAGTAGTGCTGAACGCTTAACTTAAGCTTAAAACTATTCCAACCAAACTTTTTTTTAATTATTAACTATAACATACAATTTCTTCCATATTGCTCACCCTCTACATGATTGCAATTTACCATAAATTATCATTCTTTATTTTATATCTTACACCACATAGTGCTAAGGGTATTATGTCTTTGTGCGTTTGTTTGTAACATGGAGAAGGAAGCGAAATAGACCCATAGTTACTTTTGGGGATCTTCATCTATTTATTCATGTCAGTCCGTCCGTCCATGTATTTTTGTAAACAAAATACAGGTCGCATTTATTATCAGATTGAGATAAAATTTTCTTTTTCTTCAACCGATTTCGGGCTAACATTAGTCTAAATGACCTGTGTTTTGGCACATCCGACCGAATTCAGTCTACAAGTAGGTACATTAAATTTGATAAAAATCGGCTGAGTTTTATCTATAGCTACATATGTTACATCCATATTGGTGTTAAATCCCCTCATATGCGAAATATGCGCTCGACAACAATGATATTTGATACCGGACACCAGATACAGCACGAAAATACCTCTGCCAAATTTTATCGAGATCAGCTCAGATTTTTATACACCTTCGATATACATCTTCATCCAATTTTACGGTTATTGTGCACCACATATGTGATATCAGACCAAATTGGATGGATTTTTTCAATATTCAACCGAATTTTTTCATTTAGTGAAACTCGGTCTGGTATATCTGTTCCTCAAATAAATAATTTTTAACATAATCATGATCGATACATCATATCATGCACTATACAGCAATGTTATTTGGTATTAGGGGTAGAAGTATTTGTTGAAAATCGATTCAGAGTTGGATATATTTCCCAATTTTTGACTTCTCTAAAGGTTCATAATTGGTATGAACTAATTCACATAAATTCCAAACATATTTTTATACCCTCCACCATACTATGGAAGGTACATTAATTTTGTCATTCCGTTTGTAACTCCTCGAAATACTCATATCAGACCCAAGTATATATATATATATATATATATATATATATAGTATATATATTCTTGACCAGCGTAAAATTCTAAGACGATTTAGCCATGTCCGTCTGTCTGTCTGTTGTAATCGCGCTATCTTTCGAACAAATTGAGATAGAAGTCTAAAGTTTTGCACACATGTATATTTTGCCAGTAGGCAGGTTAAATTCGTAAATGGGCCATGTAGGTCCAAGTTATCATATAGCCCCCCATATAACCTCCCGATATTCGGTATTTTGATGATTTTAGCTACATTATTCGCCGGAATTTTGGTATTTGAAGGTCGTAATAGATACTGCAGCATAAAACAGAAAATGGGTTATATATGTCCACGTCTTCATAAAGCCCCCATATACCGTACCCCCCGATATTCGGTATTTTGATGATTTTAGCGAAATTATTTACCGGTATTGTTTCAAATTTCGCATGTGAAGTCCGTAATGGATACTTCAGCCCATGCCAGAAAATTGTCTGTGCAGATCGACGTCTTTTTATAGCCCCATATGACGGTACCCCCCATATTCGGTATTTTGATGATTTTAGCGACATTATTCGCCGGAATTTTGGTATTTGAAGTTCGTAATAGATACTGCAGCATAAAACAGAAAATGGGCTATATAGGTCCACGTCTTCATAAAGCCCCCATATACCGTACCCCCGATATTCGGTATTTTGATGATTTTAGCGACATTATTCACCGGAATTGTTTCAAATTTCGCATGTGAAGTTCGTAATGGATACGATTTTAGGTACAATACTGACCGAAATTGTATGAGACGTCGTATTTGAAGTTCGAAATGGATACTACACCCAATGCCAGAAAATGGTCTGTGCATGTCCACGTCTTCGTATAACCCCCATATAACGGTACCCCCCGATATTCGGTATTTTGATGATTTTAGAGACATTATTTACCGGAACTATTTCAAATTTGGTATTTGAAGTTCGTAATGAATACTATAGCCAATGAGAGAAAATTGTCTGTGCAGGTCCACGTCTTCGTATAGCCCCCATATAACGGTAACCCCTCGATATTCGGTATTTTGATGATTTTAGCCACATTATTTACCGGTATTGTTTCAAATTTCGCATGTGAAGTTCGTAATGGATACGATTTTAGGTACAATACTGACCGAAATTGTATGAGACGTCGTATTTTAAATTCGTAATGGATCCTACAGCCTGTGACAGAAAATTGTCTATGCAGGTACAGGTCTTTGTATAGCTCCGATTTTGATGATTTTAGCTACATCATTCACCGTTTATTTCAAGTTTCGAATTTGAATATGGTAATGGCTTATAAGAAACAATGCCTATGTAGGTCTACGTTGTATAGACCCCAACATAGCGACTAGAATTACTATTAGCGACTATGAATTACAAACAGTTGTATTTGGGGTAATTTGTGCGCCGTATCTTGCAATTCGAACTTGGCATCAGTTCGCCGGTGATTGTGAATTAGAATATCCATTGGCTTCTAAGATTTTACGTACAAGTATGTGCTCATGATATAGAAACCGCATTACTTGCTTGCAACCAACTCATTGCTTCTCTATCCACAGCTAAATCTGAGTTGAGGAAATGGACCACTAATACAAAATTCTATTCTTGCTTGTTTACCCCCTAGTCATTTAGTTGACGCACAAGTATTATCCTTTGTAGAAGCAAGTAGTTCTAAACCAGTGGGTAGCGAAAATCATAATGCAATAGGTGTGGTTAGACATCTTCGGTTGTGACGATTCACTTTTGGTTGCAACGTTGGTTGGGTTCATTATAAATAAACATTTTTAGTAAAACTGCAACCTGTGCTTCAAAAATCATACGCGAGGGTAAGCCAGCGTGACTGCGGAAAACCCCCCTTCATGGACTACGTTTGTGGCAAACAGAGTTTTTCGAATTCAACAAAATGTAGGAAGTGCCAGTGGGTTTCCTGTTAAGTCTGAGGATAACACGTCTGATTTGGGAAGTCATGGTATTTGGTGGAAGGGTACTAGTTGGGTGAGTTTAGATAATTCTGCTTGGAATATTTCGGACCCTGATCCCATTGAAACAGACCTTGAAGCTCGTAGCGTCAAAACTCATTTTTCGTTCTTCTCGAATCATGAAGATATCCTCGAGCATTTTTCATCTTTTATAGGGCGTTGCGAGTATTATCGTATGTCCTTAGACCTTATCAAAGAACTCACCCAATATTTCGTTGTCAATTTGAATTCAATAGTAAAGTCATTTGCTATACTTTAAACACGGTTATAGACGATTGAATGGGCGTTTAGCAAAGTCTGCGAGTTTGTC